ACTACTACTACTACTTCTTGTACTACTACTAGGTTTTCTACTACCAAGACTACTCCTACGGGAATTTATACTACGAATACTGCTGCTGCTGCGGCTGCTGCTACTACTACTACTCCTCCTCCTGCTGCTGCTGCTGCTGCTGCTACTGCTGCTACTGCTGCTACTACTGCTACTACTGCTGCTGCTGCTACTACTACTACTACTACTGCGCTACTACTGCTTCTGCTTCTACTGCCATCAAGTTCGAGCACGACTACGACTATTTCTACTTCTACTTCTGGTGATGGTGGTGCTGCTGCTGTGACTGCCTCCGACAAGCCATGTCGTTGTCAAGCAACCACCCAGTTTCTGCGCAGGTGAAACGGATATTTTGTATTCATTGCCATAGCATACGGTTGCTTCAGGAATTGGACCCTCAGCTATGGGGAGTTGCGGGCAGCGAATGTTGTCGGCGCTCGGCAAGTGGGTGCTTTCTGCTGCGGTGAGGTTGATGGACGCTTGGCCAGGAGAAGACCGCAAATCTTGGGACCCAAAGCTAAACAGGCTCTCGAAGCTGCTTCGGAAAGTGATGAGAAAACGCCATTCAACGATAACAGTGACCTTGACTAACACATACGCCCTGGCCCGGGCACCTCATCTCGTAATGGTGGCAGGTTACAGTCGAGGCAAATTTCGGCCCTGCTTCAGCTCTCCACAGGAAGACCATGGTTGAGTGCAGTTGGGAATCGTGCTTTTGACTTTGAGTTCCGACATTCATGTTTAAGCTCAGATCAAGAGCAGGGGCACTCTAGGGCATAGCAGGGAGACTTGCGAATAATCGTTAAGAGCGCATGTTTACAGCAATCAGCAATCCTGGGCCCGAGAGATTGGATGTTTTCCCAGATTGGGCTGGCTCGGGACTTGACAAGAGTGTTTAAAACCTGTCCTCACGCATCAACTTCGTCGCAGCTTCATGACAGAAGCCTGCAGCTAGTCGCTTCGACAGAGTGCAGGTGTCAGGGGATTCGGGTGGGGTTTTTCGTTTGTGGAAGGCTTGGACATGTCAATGCCCAGCACAAAGGTTAGAGGGACCAAGACCCTACTGCTGGGCAGTGCAGACCATGTGTTGGGGCTGTTCCAAACAGAGTTTATCGCCGTCTACTGCAATATAAGGATCTCTTGAAAAGACCCGCTGTGTGGTTGCTACCATAACTCTCATTCGGAGACTGTACTGTCAGTTTCATGTCGCGAGTTTGGGGGACCAACATGCCGGACCTTCGCCCACTGCGGAGGGCTAGACCCAATTCTTACTCCCTGGAGTTCGTAATGGTCCGCAATGCCTGTGAAAAAAACTACACCTCAAACCTTAAGGGACATGGAAACTCAGACAGTCCAGGCCGCCGTCGCTCCCTGCTAGTTATCGGCAGCGGCGCTGCGTTCGACGAGGCTCCGGCGGAAGCTTCGTGGCTCCAGGCCACGCTCTTCTTAGGGCCTTAAGCCATTCGGGGGCCAATAAGCTTCTAGTCTTGAACTTCCCATGGTATCATCATGTATGGTTACATAGTTACATGCCTTGGCTTCAGCAACTTTCGGTTAAAGGTGTATTTGGCCGTTTCGCTGCCGCTGATTGTCTCAAGGCATAACGGTGTAGAGTCATGGTTGAGAGATGAGTGTATGTCCTGAGTCAACTGGAGTCGGGTTCAAAGTCCACAACGTCAATCTGGCTTGGTGAATGGCTTGTTGTATCCATTTGGATATTACACAGTAGCGCACGTGTTCATGCTCTATAGATAGATAGATCGATAGATAGATAGTTGGAAAGTTAGCTAGATAGATAGATAGATAGATAGACAGATAGACAAACAGATAGATTGATTGATTGATTGATAGCACATTTGTTTATTTTTGTGTACTTATTCACACATCCATTCACGTGATAGAAGTTTTCTAGGCAATACATATACCATATGTATATATATATATAATATACATACATGTACACATTCACAGCAGATAATATACAGGCAGCGACGGCTTTTAGGAGACGCATGTTCAGGCGCATGGATGTACGTAGGGCTTTGGGAAGGTTTGAGGAGCTGTGGACTTTTATAAGCTCAGAGCTAAGGCCCATGTTTCAAGTCTTAGCCTCCAGGAGTGCACCAGCCCCTACATCGTCTCAAAGCTCGCTGCAGAGATGATCTTGGTCAGGCTGTGTCCCTGGGCAGCGGCCTGGCTCAACTCATCCACCTCGGCCCTAAAGCCCAGCTGCATGGGGTCTGCCGTTCAACATTCGACGTTGTGAAGTTGTAGCTTGAGAAGCTCGCCGATCACCTCAGTCTTGACTTCCCCAAACTCGGTAGTGCCGAAGAAGCATCAGCATGATCGTAGAAAAGGTCGTGGTGCGGCCAGGGTTGGTGGTGTTGCTTGGCTGCAGTAGAAACCTAAGTCTTGTTTAGCCCTCAGCAAGCCTTGCCTCCTTGAGTATCGCAATAGCCTGAAGTTGAGCGGTCTTTGAATCAGGACCTTTTCAGAAGATGAAGGCTGTAGGAGCAGATCTTCACCGCCTTGTGCAAGGTGATGGCATGTCAGGGATTGCATTATGTCACATCAGTGCAGCCATTTGTTCAGAACGACTCACATTCCCTTTCTTCAAACTCACGTTGCGCGGCCTAGGGTTGAGTTTTCACAAACGGTTCAAGCAAGTCAGTGCCACATGATGGAGTACAGAACCTTGGCTTAGAATAGCATCCCACCGGAGAAGTGGGTCGACCCAGCACCTTGCGCGGGAATGCCGCCGAACGTGGTTTTATTCAGAGATTTCTGACACAAGTTCACGGTAATTACGTCTATCACAGCGAAGCAGAATGCTTCGAGCATGGCGGCAGTTGCTTTTGCGGTAGAAGGATGAAGTGATGAGTTCGGGTACTTCCTGGACCTTGGCCAGACGCAAGCTAGAGGTGTCAGCCGGCACAACGACAAAGGAGCTGATTGCCAGAGCAATGAAGCTGCGCGCAGTTCTGTCAGAAGCCGAAGTCACGAATCCATACACGGTAGCAAGGGGCCTCAGCGCTCAACCTGGCTCAGTTCGATGCGGCTTGATGCGGCAGCATACGCGAAGATTCATCAAGAGCTGATGCAACATGCCGAGAAGACTTTCCTCAGCACTTGCATGGACCAAGCTCGCGGATGCGCTGAAGATTGGCCGTAATTAGAGGGAGACGTCAAGTCGCCACCAAGGTCACCCAGGGTCAACCAGCCCTGACAGGTATCCTCATGCTCGAGACTCCAACGATATTCGCGCTCGAAGATAATCTAGTTTAAACAGGCTTATGATGATCAGCACCCGATAGTTTTAGAGTGAAAGGAACTAGAGCTTTATGCCGGCCTGTCGATGGCTGTGGACTGTTTGCACACAGTCGTGTGGGTAATGCCTAGACTCTAGACCCGTCCATTTCAAAGTCTCGAGTGTATGTGCTCTTCATGTGAGGACCGGCGAATCTCCCAGCCAATTTTCGTTCTTTTGTCTTCAAGGATGAGCCGATATTAAACGGAGGGTGTTGCATTTGGATTCCGATCTGTGATTAGTCGCATGTTGGACATACATAGCCCCAGGCTTCAGCATCGCGAGTGATGGAAACAAACGCATATATGTACCGTTCAGTCATCAGAAAGCCTGAGGAGACATTGACGTGAAAAATCGGGTGCTTAAGCCCTGAGCCTAAGTTTAAGCGTGAGCCTTTGAACCTCAGGTGGCACTCGAAGACCGGCAGCTACAGCACCGATGACGGCCCGACACGTCTAGCACGCTGGATGAAGTCCGAAAACCTGTGCTGGAACACGGAGGCTGCTTCGGAACCACTACTGTACGTTGAATTTCCCAGGGTTTTGACTAAGTTGGGGTTGGGCGCTACAATTTTTCATACCATGAGGTCTCGCTTCATATTTGTTTCGTTTGTGTGTCTTGGTGTACAGGCTTGAGCGGAGCGTCGAAGACCACAGTTGCCTTGTAAAAATCTCCCACCCAGCCAGCTTCGCTGCGCACATACCATGAGTACAGCCTTTGTATGTGTCTTTGCATATCGCTTGTATACAAGACTTTGGGATTCTGGAGTTCAGATCTCGTGTTGCTTCTCGTACCTGGGTTGTGAAAGTTTTTTGCCAAGTGCTGCCGTGCTGTAGCCTGAGCTTGAAGGCATTAGCCAGTCCAGAGAGCTGGCCCACAGGTTTCTTAGACGAAGACCCCCATTTTTGTTTGTTGCGGCCGTACTCTTACCATAGCAGGTGACATTGATCTGTGCAATTCATCTTGTGTCAACCAGTTTCTCTAAGAAGCGAGGCGAACCCAGAACTTCAAACCCGCGGTCACAAGTCGTTCAGGACCACGGCGACTGGATGGATGGTATGAATGTCCTCGACTGCCAAGCAGACAAACTTTCGTTTTTGTTCCGCGTATCATAAGCTCACCACAAGTTTTAAATTTTCAGCCTTAAGCCCAACCCGTCGACCTATCTTTGACCGAACACGAATAGTTGAAGCTTAATGAGAACTCTTGATTAATAAGCCCCCCCCCCCCCCCCCCCNNCCCCCGCGCAAGGTAGGTCGGCCGGTGGCCCAGATCGGCCCCCCCCAAACAGCATTTAAATACAACCCAAAATCCCAAGGAAATCCCCAAACCCACGCCAAGCATGAAGACTAGAATTCAGTTTGGGAGGCTTCACGGTTTTTCAGCGCCTTAGGGGGGGGCTATTGTGGAAGGGGCCAGCGCCTGAAAGACATGTTTTCAGCCAGGTCCGCGGCCCGGTGGGGTTTATGAATCAAGAGTTGACATTAAATACTACATAATAGACTCAAAGCTTTCGTTCCACGTTGCTGATCACCGCAAGGTGGATAAATTCTGTCAAGCGGCGCTAAAAGTCTTTGAGCATGGAGCTCCAGAGACGTACAGCACCTTCGGAACCAATCAGCAAACATAGGCGGGGTGCCTGCGGCTTGAGGACTTGCGGGATAAGGGTTGGAATGCTTGGCGTCTCTAGGGTATGGGGCGAAAATCCAATGATCACCAATCAACAAGCAGGAACGTGATTCGCCCATTGCTTGTTCGGATTCGCTCGTGCTCTTCGTGTGTCTTTGAGCTTCTCGGTTTCGTGTCTATCATGTACATGCTCGGGGTGGGGTTGCCGGACCTCGGCGGACGGACGATGTTAGGCTGGATTTGAGATTTCGGGCAGCCCAGTGTTTGAGCACGTCATTTCCCTGAAGCGTGAGAGTTTCTGCAATTCTACAATACCGGAAAACAGAGTCCATGGATCGATCAGCTAGAGTCCAGCTAGAGGACGGCGCAGGTAGCGAATGTAGTATCGGTGCTCCTCACACTATTATACTATGAGATGCTTGCATTCTCAGGCATGACCGGCAACTACGGGCTTGCTACCCTGCTTGAACACCTTCTAGTCGCCTGCACGATGCTGCCGCACCTCGAAGCAAGCTTCCAACGATTTGCGAGGTTCAGGCTTCTGCCCACCCCCCCACCCGCGAATCCCGCTCCCCAAGATAATTGATGATCTTGGACGATGAAGAACGAAACTGGGTACCATTGGTGGGTGATATGGGCACGATGACCGCAATCATGTGCAAGTGTAGAAAGTGTGGCAGACATTTTGGATTGGATTGCTTTGGCCCCGGGGAACTGCATCAGTAACGGTGGCGCCACTGGGTGGATCACCCCACAGCCGATAAGTGGCTGCCAGTGTCCGATGAGGTGAGAGTCAAACAAACTCGTTTCACATTGGCCACGAGTTCGGGCAGGGAGAGCCAATGCATTCTTAGCCACTGCGCTTGCCACAAGTTTTGCACTTGCATGCACGGGGGAGGTGGCCGAGGGGCGGGGGTCGCAGGTGCTCAGGCTTTAGGACAGTTCAGGGTTCGTGTGTTTGGTTTGCATTTATACATACTGGACCCCTCGGCTCCTAGATTGGCTGGTTGACCTTGGACCCCAAGCTTCCCAGATGCGGCAGTGTCTCCGGGACAACCGACCCCATGAGAGGCGAACTCTTAGCCCCCGCATTTAGGTACTCTGAATGGTATGCAGCCGTCGCGCGAAGCCAGAAATCCTGCGACCCTCTGGCAGCGCTGCTGCCACACATTGAGGCCTCCTCGCCGCTTTGCTCCGCTCGTTAGCATAGAACAGGCATGATAGATTCAGATGCCGTTCGTACGAAAGTTTCTGAGATCCCAGAAACTCGATTCTGCGAGCTTCAATTTTCGAGTGTGAGCCCCATGTCAGGCCGATCAGCCACCCTTTGCATCCTTTGGCCAAGACCTTTCTCCGAAGTGCAGGCCACGTTCTTGCGGGAGATTCAAGGAGTTCGGACGGACCTGTTCTTGGGGAAGTCTCGGAGATGGTCTTAGTTGGTAGGAGTGTTTGGGGCTCTAGACTCTAGCTCTGCTTTGGAGGAATCCGGTGGGCGTTCTAAGGCTGGATGCAACCTCTTCCTCGAGGCTTCGTGGATTCAAGTTCGATTGTCGGTGTTGGTTGGGACCAAAGCGGCTTGAAGAGTATAAGGCGAGGGCTGCAGGGTTCTGAGAATCTGTAACTTTACAGAAGATACAAAGCGGTCTGGATGTTGACCACGGGGGGAATCGAATTGTAATCAGCCCTCGATGCCTCATGAGACGCAGAAGCTACTCGTAGTTTCGTCAACCCTCACCCCCACAACCAAAGCTAAGACAAGGAGCAAAACCGTTGACACTCTATAAGCCAACTTGCAGGCATCCATCCGCATACTTGCTCGTTAGCTCATAGCTTTTGCAGTACGAAGTACTGTCCAAGTTAGCATTGTGAGACTTGAATTGCACAGGGGTTCGCACGCTCTGTTGCCTTCCCAGGCTCTTGCTAGCTCCAGCGCGCGTGTTTGTTAGTGACTAAATGCATGGAAGAGCCTCAGGCACGGCTTCCTGAACAAACGGAAGTCTAAAGAGCACCCTCCGGAGGAAGGTGCTGGGTGAGCAGCTGGCCAAAGAGCTGCGAGAGGCTCCGGACATGGAAGCGGCTGCAGAGCGGAATCTGAAGCCTGAGACGAGCAGTCGTGATGAGTGTCATGATGACTGCAGGTACATCACTGCTAGCTGATGCTGAAGCTAGTTCCCTGTTCAAATCCGAGGTTCAGTTAAATTCGAAACCGCAAGTCGTGCAGGTCTCTGGCTACGCGGCTTTCGCACGAGCCTTGTCGTGACAGCACCACATACCAACTCCCGGCTGAGAAGACGGCTTGGACAGGATGAAGGACTTTCCACATGCTCGCAGTTGATGAGTTGAGGCGTCCAAGGGGGGTTCGGAGTGGCTGCGAGGTGTTTTGGAGCTTGACTCCTTACAGAGTGTCCCGACGGGGTGGCTTTGCAATGCACGCCTTCATCGATCTC